TTGCATAGAAGAAGGGATTTTCATTAAAGTCCTTGACAAAGGATCCAAAAAATACAATAAAATTATAGCCTGGATGGATTGGAAAACAGTTTTGTGTAATTTTGGTTCTTGTAAACAAACACCAACAGGAAAAACCGGGAAAGCAACATCTGAAGCTCACCCGATTACCCCTGAGGCCGCAGATATTCCACTGTAAATAGGCCATGATTGGCAACGAGGAAAATACCAGGAATCCGCAGGTAAGGGCACCTACAGACTAGAGGAGTTAGAAAAGTCTACGTGCGTGGCATGGGAAAAAACATTCAAGCAGCGATGGAATGGAGCGTTACGAAGAATGGAGTTGTGGAGATGGAGGAGAGGGAAGAGAAGGAACAGGGGGTGGATCATGTCCATTAAAGGGTTTAGTCCCTGCAATATATTCTAAAATAGTGTCAAGTGTTTCTGAATTCAAAGACATTGTATGGTAGACAATATTGAAGATAGAAGGAGGAGGGTGAGTAAAGATTGGGACAGTAATGAACTGTACTAAAGTAGGGGGGGACGAAAGCATGTTGGGAACTGAAGAAGTGTGGGAGGGGACAGAAGAGGCAGAAACCTGGGAGGTGGCAGAAGAGGGAGAAACTTGGGAGGGGACAGGGGAGGAAGGCACAGAACTAGAAGTAGGGTGAACCTCTACACTTGTAATAGAGCCAGTGAGAGGGGAAGAACCAGGTACAGACTGGAAAGGTAAAATGTGGAGGCAGAAGAAGGGAAGGAGGGGGCAAAGAAGATTTGAGCAAAGGGGATTTTTTGGACTTCTGAGAAGTAGAGGGGAGATTGGTAGAAGGTGCCCGTACGAGGTCTTGTCGATACCGAGGGCTTGTGAGGGAGAACTCGAAGATGTCAGAACAGACTGAGGCGTTGAAGTAGGGACATCTGAGCTCAGGACAGCAAAAAAATTTTAAATACAGAGTGACTATGGGAGGGGTAACCACAGAGGAGGCTGCAGAAGATGGAACCCCAGAAGTGGGGGACATTTTGAAAGACGAGAATAAGAAACATGGGGTAGTCTCCCTTGGAGGGGGAGATGAGAAACTGCCATAGCATAAGGGAGACCTTCTGCCTCTTGAGGCAATGAATTTGACGCTCATTTAAGTAGACCTGGCAATGGCAAGAGTACAAAGGGTGAGCCTCATGACAATTAAGGCAAGAGGAAGGTCGACTGCAAGATGTATTAGAATGGTCATCGGCACCAAAGACTGGGCATTCGGCTGTAGATCTGCAATATTTTGCTGGGTGACCAAATCGCCAGCAATTTCTACACTGTTTCGGTGTAGGGATCACCTTTCAAACTTGTAACCGATGTCCTGCTACATAAACAGAGGATGGGAGTTCACGGCTGTCAAAAGTTAATTGAGCCACATTGCAAGGGTAACATCTCCGCCCGCGGGCAGGAAGGACATAAGTGTCTACCATGCGGATTGGGAGATCTTGGAGTTCCAGCTGTTCAAGAATGTCATTGTCACATGTCTGAAAATTCTGTTGGACTATGGTATGAGGCAGAATGACAGTACCACTTCCAGAATTGAGGGAATGATGTTTTTCAATAGTGACAGGAATAGTATCGATAT